GAGTTTTTCGTTTTCGCGTTCGCCGGAGATAAAGTGATTTTAAGGAGAAATGCGGCGTGTTTTCAGTGCTGCTGATCTCACACACCGCCAGACCTGAGCTCACATTGAGACGAAGAGCGGCGCTGGGAAGTTTAATGTTCCTCAGGAGCGACGGAAACAGTCCTCCGAACATCTGAGGTAAAACTCCTCGATCTGCTGAACCTTCTTGTCTCAGGCTGTTTGTGCTGTTTGAGTCGAGATGTGTGTCAGTATGTGTGTGTTTTGCTGTTGTTTTGTAAGTGTGTGCGTGTGTTTCTGTCTGATGAGCCGGAACACAGTGTGAGGGCTTGGGCTGTGTCTCAAAACCTAGTGAGCTGACTATAATAGATTGCATTTTTGGGGGCATTATAGGCCCATTTTGAGTCAAAACGCGTGTGTACAAAAATGCTGTTGGAATGCAAATACTATACAGTATGCTCATTATTGTTTGAGACACAGCTATGAGGCTATTAGTCGTGTAGTTGATGCATTTGGGCTAATAAGCACTTGATGAAGGGGAAATGTTCCTATAAAGACTGTCTGTCAGTAAATGTAGATTGAAACGCAGGCCGGGAGTGATAACTGCATTTATAACGGTGATTGCTAGTGTTGAATTACTTTCTAGTGAGCAGTCGACTTGGACTTAATTAAATGACGAAAAGAACTGCTAGCCACATTAATTCCTATTGTGAGTCTGCTGGAGCATCACGGATATTGATAAAGCTGCTGGTTTAAGGCTGAAGGGTGGGTTCAGATGCATGCTCTCTTGACCTCTACATTAGACATTTCCCAAAGGAGGTTAAGAATAGTTTCAGTAAAGGCCAAAATAAAATTCATAATGCTGTATGAATACAAATATGTGCAGTTGTACACATTGGAATGTTGCTTCCTGTGAACCGGGAGCAAAAATAAACAGTGCTGTTTGACCATCTCAGGAGGTCAATATAAGCATTTGGGCTGTTTCAGCATGCAGCCTAATTAAATTCTTGCAAATGTCTGCCTTTTCGTGAAAACTGAATTTGCTTCTTTAGTTGTCTGGCTATTCTGTGTGATGTGAAATACGGTATCATCGTGTGTGGATTGAGCTGTTTGAAAAACTCTTGCAGCTGGTGATGGATTCAGTCGATCATATGCTCACACATTTTTAGTCTTGTCATACAGGCTCCTTTAAGATAAAGGCTGAATAGAATAGATTTTAAGATTCAGCTCAGTTCTGGTTTTGTTTGTGCATCCAGCTCCATCATTCTTGTTTCTGGTATCTGTCCGCCCTGTTGAAAGCCCCTTTAATTTACCCTCAGCTGCATTCATTGTATTCTTACCTCTGAACTTTCTGCAAAATGCTATTCAAAATGCTATTCTCTCATTACAAATGTCTGTCCTTTTACACATCTTCAAAAATACAACAGATCTGCTCAGATTGTTGTGTTAGCTCTCATTTGTTGAGTTTTTGTTTTAGTGAGTGTCATATGTGATGCTCTCTATAACAGGCTGATGGCTTGGCGAATGCTCGATTCGTCTCTGGGCACACTTACATCCACTGTTTTAGCAACTCACAGAAGACCTAGATATCTTGGCTTTTGACGTATTTCTCAGAGCATTTTAATTTTATACTGCACTGCATATGGGGATTGTTGCTTAATTCTTCGGCTTATGCTTTTTTTGTAATAATGTTTTAATTATGGTGGCATAATATTGGAACTATGTTATATTAAAGTTATATGTTATGTGTTAAAGTTAGTGTGAACACTTGCAAATGCATGTTCAAGTTAACCTTATTGTCATTCAACCCAAACATGGTTTCTCTATGGGTATATTCTCAATAATTCATTCAAAACATTAATATTATCAGCATGACATCAATATACAGTATAGAAAGGCCATTTTGCATTGCACATGTCAGAAATGTAATATATGTTGTACAAAGACAATAATCCAACATATTAGACAATAAACAGTACACACAAGGCATTTTGGAAGTGCATGTGCAGTCTACAAACTTTCTTCACATTTTCTAATCCACATTTCTTATTCTTTTCTCTATGTTTTTCTTTTTTTCTAACTTCACTGACAAAAGCTGAGTATCCTGATGTGATTATTCTCTAAATGTGAATGAGAAGAGTAATGCTAGGACTCTTTTCTACAACCTAGTGCGCTGCATTGCTGTCTACCATCTACATGCGTCCTAACTGAAATGAAGGCTCATAAGTGACAGATTTGGAGCGCAAATGTGTCATACAAATAGCGTCTCAAATGAAGCAAACGGGAAACTGCATGCACAATTGATTTCAATAGACTTATGATGTTATGATGTGAAGTTATGAAGATAATGATGCAACACTAAAAACTGTACAGATAAATATTAAGTAATATAGTCTATTTTAATTAATTGAAATATATAATAATTTATATATTTACAATAATTATATCAAAATGCATTCTAGGTTTTCCTTCTCTGTAAAGGATGCATTCAATGCTGCATTAGATTTTGCTCAAAATAAGGTTTCTCAGACGTCAATACAGTCATTATGATAATGCTTTACAGTTACCATTCATTAATTCAGCAGTTAACATCAAATAACAATGAACTATTCTTTTACAACAATTAGTAATCTTGGTTAATCTGTATAAATTATTTTTTTTCTAAAACATCCATTGTAAAATGTTCAGAAAAAATGTAAAAAGTGTTGCAAAAATGCATTAACTAATGCTGAAACTTATTAATTTTAATAATCATGTTGCCTATGTAGGTGCATTACAAGGTTTTGAAACAGAACTGAGCCATCAGTGCATTCTAGAGCTAATAAATGTAGAAATGAATTAGTGCATTCACTTTAGTGCACAATATCAGTTGCATGATCTAAAGTCAGCACCAGATGCTCAGATTTGTAGTACTTTGTCTTAAAGTATATCCTCAATCTACTGTGTTCGAGTTTTGCTTTCTATTGATGATTGACTCTTGCTTTCATTATAAACCTCCAAAATAATCTTATCAACCAAAAGCACTCAAACAGCAGTGAAGTTTCTATCTTATCTCAGTCTCCCACTGTGAACGGGCTTCTCTTGAATGGGCCGAAGTCAGTCCATCACGGCGGGTCAATAAGGGAGCGAGGGCCAACAGCCACAGCAAAGGCCATGAATGGACTGCTAATCATAGGCAGATCAATAGCCTTTTCAATAGCGCTTACTCGTATTTAAACATGGCTCAGGCTTAGAGCTCTTTCTGTGTGCGCTCGCTGCTGAAATGTGACACAATGTTCACGTCTCGCAGTACCAGCTGTGTCTTTATGCCACCAAATTAACATTCACTTCAGCAGCACTATTGCAGTAAGTGTGTGTGTGGATGCTTTTTTTAATCGGCCTGAATAAGCCCCACCTAACTGCTTTAGCAAACTCAATATGTTCTTGTGCTAAAAAGAAAAATAAGAAGCCGAACCGAAGACGACTGATGTCTTGTTGTGGCACGATAGCTTGAGAGTCAAGTCAAGTCAAGTCAAGTCACCTTTATTTATATAGCGCTTTTAACAATACAGATTGTGACAAAGCAACTGAACAGCATTAATTAGGAAAATAGTGTCAATAATGCAAAATGACAATAGTAAACACTCATTTTTATCTTGTTGTGGCACGATAGCTTGAGAGTCAAAGCTGTATGTCACTAGAGAATGTTCACCAATCAGCGGTGAGCTTCACTTTAGCAATGGTAAAATAAAATCATATTTTCAGGGTAAATCAGTTGGTATACAAAATAAACAATGGCTTTTTGCATGCGCTACTTTACAATGGGAAAATAAGTTTATACATTCTCTAAATAATCAGTGCTATGAGGGTTATGTTTAGAAACAAAGTATGTTTGTAATGCATTCAGTGGAAAAACTTAATTCAAGATATTATAAATCCAAAGAATAATTTTAAATATACATACATTAAAATACTACAATGTTTAATATAATTTACATTTACACACACACACACACACACACACACATATATATATATATATATTCATTTATATTCTACTGTCCAGACATTTGGGGCCAGTAACTTTGTTTTTTTAAGTTTTGAAAGCATTTTCTTCTGCTCACCAAGGCTTCATTTATTTAATCAAAAATACAGTGAAATATGATTGCAATTTCAAATAATTGTTTTCTATGTGAATATATTAAAAAGTGTAATTTATTTCTGTGATCAAAGCTGAATTTTCAGCATCATTACTCCAGTCTTCAGTGTCACGTGATCCTTCAGAAATCATTCTGATATGCTGATAATTTCTGATTATCAATTTTGAAAACAGTTAAAAACAGTGAAATATGATTGCAATTTCAAATAATTGTTATCTATGTGAATATATTAAAAAAAATTAATTTATTTCTGTGATCAAAGCTGAATTTTCAGCATCATTACTCCAGTCTTCAGTGTCACGTGATCCTTCAGAAATCATTCTGATATGCTGATAATTTCTGATTATCAATTTTGAAAACAGTTGTGCTGCTTCATATTTTCTGGACTGTACATGGTTTTCTGTATCAGGACATACATTTTGGAAAATAAACCCTCAGATGAACAACAACATGGCATATCATACCGTGTCATTATTTATTTAACAAAAACTTGGCCAAAATGGAAAAGCCATGGGTGACAAACTAAGGACACCCTTACTGTTAACCTAGAAATTAAGAGGGTAAGTAGTGGTCAGGCACTGCTAATCAAATGCCTTTAATTAACTGATCATCAGCAAGTGTGAGCACTTCTATAAAAGCAGACGTTTTGCCAAAGGATGCCAAAGAGGAAAGACAGGAGCAATGATCTCAGAGAAGCGATTGTTGCTGCCATCAATCTGGGAAGGGTAATACAGCCATTTCCAAACAATATAAAGTCCATTATTCTACAGTGAGGAAGTTTATTCACAAGTGGAAGACATTCAAAACAGACACCAATCTTCCCACAGTTCCCAGGAGTGGACGTCCCAGCAAATTCACCCCAAGATCAGACCGTGCAACGCTCAGAGAAATGGCAGACAACCCAAGAACTTCACCGCAGACACTACAGGCCTCACTTAACATGTTAAATGATAAAGTTCATGACAGTACAATTAGAAAAGGACCAGCCAAGTATGTCATGTTTGGAAGGGTTGCCAGAAGAAAGCCTCTTCTCTCAAAAAA